AACGAGTGAGGTGAAATATATAAAAAAAAAAAAAAAAAAAAAAAAAAAAAAAGAAAAAATCCCACAACCCCATAGCTCTCTCTCGAATAATCATGTCATCCAACAAAGAGAACAGAGAGCGGTAGAGTTGTTGGGAGAGAGAGAGAGAGCAAAAGCTCTATTAAGATATCGGTTTATTTTCCCACGGAAAAAGCAGCCCATGGATACGTGATGCATGTATGTGGTATATACCCTCTCTCGATCCTTATAACCACCACCCCCCGGCTCTGTCGTCTACATTACTACCGCGTGTATAGGGTACACATACACATGATACACGCGTATACGTGTACGTGTATATGTTCCTCGGAAAGTACAAGTATGCGATGAGCTAGGTAAGGTATTAATCATCGAATTTCGGCCAATCTGAGGGAAGAGTAGCTGAATGGATGATGATTGGTCGCGCAAAGCGGGGGCAAAGGCGCCGCTCTACCGGCCGGGGTCCCGGAGGCCGTGTGTGCATCGACTCGACCTTATACATACCTGTATACTTATATATACACTCGAGTATACGCTATGGTAGTTGTAATAGTAATAGTAGCAGTAGTACGTATAGGTATAAATATATAGATATCCCATCCGCGAGCTTATATACATACGTTTTTGTAGACAGAGGTTTACATGTTCCGTAAAAACGGATATAATATCTATCCGTCACTTTCTGCATATTTTTTTTTTTTTTTTTTTTTTTTTTTTTTTCGCCGACGTTTAAGGATGTGTATCTATATACGTACAATTAGGGTAAGTTGTGAAAAAAAAAAAAAAAAAAAAAAAAAAAATTAGCGCGCGTTCGCCACATTCCCCCATGTAATATTAGCTCTCCACTCCCTCAGATATAAGTACGTATAGGTGTGTGTATATCATACGCAAGAATAAAAAAACAAATACAACGCCTTGTTATATATATATATAACATCATAATCCCCGGTATTTGTGATGGAGGGTATACACAATATCTCTATGAGTAGTATATAAATATGTATAGTGTACAAGATTAAAAAAGCGACCGAGTGAGCGCGGGTGTACATTGTATGTGTGTATAAATATATATCACATATTTCGGTATGTGGGGGAGAGATAGCACCGTCGTATCTATATCTTATATATGTATATAAATAGGATTAGTAGTAGTAGTAGTGGTAAAAAGTAAGTACATATAAGTTATAACGTTGTACGCGAGCAACAGCCCCTATATATGTGTATATACGTAAAAATACGTATACACATATCATGAGAGAGGGAGCCCCTTTGCCCCCCTTCCCCTTGCCAGCGCCTCGTATGTGGGAGCGAAGGAGAGAAGTAAGGGAACGAGAGAGAGAGAGAGAGAGAGGTGGGGGAGTATGGGTTACAGGAGCGTGAGAGTGTTGTTGCAGAGGCCGAGAGGTCAGCGGATCACCCGGAACTCGCGCTTAGGACTCGCTCTCTCTCTCTCTCTCTCATTCGCTGTAGGTACAAGGCACACACACACACACACACACACACATATATATATACATATAGGTACTCGGACGGACCTCGCAGGGTTCGAATGCTCTCTCTCTCTCTCTTTCGTTGCTGTACTCTCTCCGATGCTTGCTCCGAGCGGTTAACTTTGCCTCCCTCGCGACCGCCGGCGCGCGCGCGCGCTTCATGTGTATATATACAGATAAAAAAAGAGAGAGAGAGAGAGAGAGAGTCCTTGCTATGGCTTCTCGCCTCATCCTCATCCTCATGCTCCTTTTGCTCTGTACTTCTTCTTCTTCTTCTTCTTCTTACGTCTTACCTTCCTTGGAGTGAGAGAGTGAGAGAGAGGGAGGGAGGGAGGGAGGCTCTGTGCGCTTCTTTTCTCGTACCTTATGCCTTTTATCTCAACTCGTTCGCTCTCCTGCGACGACGACGAGATGAGAGCGCCTGCACGGGAGGGGCGAGGGACACCACCGGAGGAGGATACTTTTTGCGCTCGAGCTTTTCTTTTCCCTGCCTCATCCTCATCGAGCTTATAAACAATGACCGCCTAAGTAGTGGAGGATCCCTCTCTCTCTCTCTCTCTCTCTCTCTCTCTCTCTCTTTCCCCCGGATTATAGTGGCGTCGAACTATAGGCCTGGCGCTCTCGACTCCTCCTCTACTATACCTTTATATGTATGTATATACATACCTTATACCCGTCGGATCTCTATGTCGGGGGGAAAACATAAAGGGTGGATGGGGGATGGGGGGGGGCACTGGTGTCCGAGAGCCCGTACGTGCTGGACCTTCTTTTCTTTTTACTCCCGACGCTATTTCGTTCTGCCCCAGAGAGAGATTGATGGCAAGATTAATACATTTTAATGTGGTTCGCTGAAAAATCGGTGACGCGTTATCATTATCGTGGTATGATGTTCATTGTTGTTGTTGTTGTTGTTGTTGTTGTTGTTGGTGTTGAAGATTATTGTAATTAACTTGGGGGATAAAAGGATATATATTATTATATTGTACGAGTGATTGCGTCGAAAAAAAAAAAAAACTTTGAGTTATCGAGACACACCTGTATGTGGGACAGTCATTTTTATCTCTCATTTTTTTATGTTGCGTTCAAAACCTTGGAATTTAGAGACAAATTGAAAATAATGTTTGAAATCGGTACTAAAATGCTTCAAAAGACTGTAAACACCGTAAGCGGGGTATACAATTTTTAAAATAAAAAAAAATATTTTGGTACTTTATTTCAAAATTTTACTACACTTTTTCGGTAAAGCTTTATCTAAACAGCATAGTTTTATTACCAGTTCTGTACTTTTACAGCGTCGCAAAAGAATTTAAATGTTTTCGAAATTCAATCATTTTATGCGACAATAAAGATCGTATGACTACTGACAGCTATTTCATGAAAAAAAAAAAAAAAAAAAATTGCCAGCGTTTTTTTTTGAAATTATACATTAGCCGGTTAAGGAAAGAAATATTCGGTTCCGTTAAACATTTATCTCGCAGTGAGCAATTATCCAAAGATTCCCAAGCCCGAGGGTCCAAAATGCTTTGGATGACTATAGGAAGCTGCATGGAAGGAAGAGTAGCGCGCTAAAGACTCATCCCAAAAGGAGGATGGGAACACGGAGTGAGGAGGTCACTCCACTCGGAGACTTTGTAAAACGCTTACGTCATTATTTTACAGGCATTACGTTTATTTACTTTTATTTTTTTTTTCTCTCTCCATTTTTCTTTTTTTTTTTCCGAGTACAATTCGCAAAGCGCGGTTTCGCTAATCACGCGAAATTGCGCCTTTCCCAGCTTGACGCCGATAAATACTGTGATTAGGGTTGATAATTATAGGCACGCGCGCCCGGGATAAGAGACTCACTGTGTAAAGAGCAATCGTGCCGGGCTCGCTAACGTTAAATTTTCTATGATTATGTTACGCGTTTTTGTGGAAACGAAATATTTATATTTTTTCCAAGGTATCATTAACGCTTGCGCACATTTTTCGTGAAACAAGCTTATTTTTTTTCTTCTCTTTGCAATACTTTTAAACAAAAAAAAAAAAAAAAAAAAAAAACAAAAAAAAAAGTTCGAAACGTTATTGCAAGAACAATGATTAGGAAACTACAATGGTTTCAGACTCGAGTAAGGATAAAAAAAAAAGTTACTGTACGCGTGTGTCCGAATGAAAACATTTTTTAGATATGTAAAACCCAACTCAGAGTATCAGCTTAAATTGTCAAATGATAAAAATTGCTTGAAAAATGTCGAAATCGGTATTGAATAATTTTTTTTTTATTTAAACATTTTTTTTATCATCTTTAGTGATTATTGTTGATTAACAGATCCTATTATGCCATTCTCAGAGGCACAAACTGCAAAACACATGGGTACATGTTTGTTTTTTTCCCAACTTTTCGTGTCATTTAATTGACAACAGACGCAACAAAAGAGGAGACATTGACAAATGTGCCCCGATGAGATTACAAAGGGAATTGAGGAACCAGCAGCCGAGGGAGTTGGGCGCGCTGGTCCTGCATGAATCGGTCGTGCGAAAAACCGTGCCACAACGCGGTCAGCTGCGCTTAGATACTCGTGTATGTGTTTACAAAGGCCTCGCGCCCAGCTGTTCCAAATATTGTCCGTGAGTATACCTACTTGGCTTACTTACTTTCTTTCTAGGGAATAAGATCCGTCATGATTTTTGACTAGTTAACTTTTTTTTTTTTTTAACACGATTCACTTTATTCGTAAAAAATTGCAAAAACACATTGTGTATATATAAAAAAAACTAAACATTTGTTTTTTAAGCAATCCTTATATGAGTTAAAGTGAGCAAAAAAAAAAAAACTTTTAATTGGATTACTTAACGTAAGAGCAATTATTTACTCGGAAATTTTGGTAAGTGAAGAAACACGAGGGTGCCCGATATACATACGGGCCCACTCAACACTGTATAGGCCATTTCCCACGGTACGCGTGTCCCACGCCACGTGCCGACACACACATTTTGAAAAATGTATGCCATTTAATTCGTTGACGCGAATATTGTCACCTTTCTCCGTATCAGTGGTTTTTGTGTACCTATAAGTATATAATTTATTTGCAGAAGCATCAGGTCTGGTGATTTCCGTCGAAATACCCAGTAGGTAGTGATTTTGTTGTTTCCATTGAAACAAATTTTAAAAAAGTATACAAACAAAAAGTGTGAAACGTGTAACAATAACTTTTTCAACGTTAGGTACAACACGTCATTGGATTTGGAAAAAATGGACAAATCCCGACGAGCCGTCTTACCATACTCGGACCACATCTACTTGAGATTAGACGCCGACTGACAAATGTTTTAAAAAAGTGTACAAACAAAAGTGTGAAACGTGCAACAATAATTATGTCAATGGTAGGTATAACACGTCATTGGATTTATAAAAAAAAAAAAAAAAACAAATCCAGACGAGCCGTCTTACCATACTCGGACTACATCTACTTGAGACTAGACGCTGACTGACAAACGTTTGTACACACTCGTCAAAAAACGCGAATAGAAGAAAAGAAAACATCTCACGTCACAGCAACAAACAGAGGAATTAACAAATTTGGTTTTGAAAAAAGAAAGAAAAAAAAACAAAAAAGAGAGAGAGAGCAAAAGAGATGATCTTACCGTGTTGGAAGTAATTTGCCTTTCTGAGAAAGACACAGACGAGCGCCATCAGCTGTAGCTGCGAGAGCCGCTGTCGCGTGGAGGGCGGTAGCGGCAGGAGATCTCTCAGGTTCGCGATCTCCGCGTTTATCAGGTCCCTTCGCAATTTGCTCGCACCTTTCGTCGATTTGCTCGCATCTATCCTTCAAATGGGCACACGCGGTTATTCCTCGTCTCTTTCCTTCCTCTCCTTCTTCGCTCCAAACGACACACGCGCGCGTTTTTGTTTTTTGTTTTTGTTTTTTCTCTTTAGGTCCAGCCACTAAAACTACCCCCCTTTGTTTACGTTTGAATGGAAAACTGATTTTTTGATCGCTGTATCGGTCGATTATCCGAAGAGGCGATGGACACACGACATCGTATCCACGCGATGAAGAGATAACATTACGGTTGAAAAAAAAAAAAAAAAAAAAAACTACAAATTTACGATATGTATACACACTTAAATGCGGTATACATTGTAAAAATGAAAATAAGTGTATTTAGGCGGAGCCGTGCGAGTACGGCTTATCATTACATTTAATGGAGATTGAACGGCAATTTTCGTCGATTGTTGTTATTATAGGCGCATACCTCGCGAAAGTCATGATTACGCCTCGTGTAATAATGTACGCACGTTATTTTTTATTTTATTTTATTTTTTTCCAATAGTAAACAAAAATCAGTTTTGAGATCGATCGACGAAAATCGTGCCAAAAAATGCTCATCACGTAGGTATCAATAAACGGCGTACTTACGAAAGATCGTCCTGTATTCGTTGCAAAGCATCAACTTAAAAATCGTGTCACTCGGGATCCACAGCGATACACCGATCGAACCACGCGATCGTCGCATCGAAGCACCCAAACTCGCCGGTGTTGTACGAACGACCACCCCCGTCCCGTTCAACGGGCGCGAAAGGGATGGGGGAGAGGTGATGGCACGATCCGCTATGCACTTTTTCGGCACACCACAAAATAAGTCCAAAGCAACAAAGAGCACGTTTTTTTCGGGGGGTTGGAGGGGGTGGCTGGACCTCAAAGAGGAGTAAAAAGTATGGGAGGGGGGGTGGGGGTGATCGACCCGTCCTTTGCCGATCATTCTTCGGTCATCGATCACACGATTCACTGTGTGTGTGTGTGTGTGTGTGTGTGTGTGTGTGTGTGAGTATGTGAAAGCACACCATACCGGTCACACTTACCGATTGAACATATTTCGCCGGGCCAACGGCGTAACGGATGGCAGAGGCGGCAGGGGCTTTGGCGCCAACGGGGATGGACAACATTAGCGGCCGATGAGTGAACGACTGCCGGCGTTGCAAGATACACTGCTCCGGCCTGCCACGCGGGTAACAGCGGTACATCCGGGTCGGCTGCTGGCGCACAGGTTTCTCGCGAAACTGCTGCTGCTGCTGTTGCGGCTGCAATCTAACATCCGGGTCATAACGCGCTATACTCCTATATACACCGTGGCTATGTGCAATGTGGCCGCGCTAGGGAGCACGTGGGTTACCCGCGCACCGCGACTCGCTACTCGCCGGATAGCTTTTGCTCGCTCGCTCCTTTTCCCGTCGTCGACGTTCTTACCTCCTCCTCCTCCTCCTCCTCCACACACTCTCTCTCTCTCTCTGTGTTTGGGCCCCCCTTGACTCTCTCTCTCTCTTGGGCCCTACTGCGCACAGCCGTACCGATACACAAGTACTTGTGTGTATATACCTACTCCTCCACTCGGGCATCTTCCGTCCCTCTCTCCACCTCCTCTTTTTATTTCTCCCTCGGACTATGTCCCCCCCGCGCTTCTTCTTCTTCTTCAACTCGTGCTTTTCGTGTGCTCTTTATTTCTTTTTGTTTTTTTTTTTTTTTTTTTTTTTTTTTTTTCAAA